TTCACCAGCACGCGCACAGTCAAACTCTCCTCGCTCTCTAGCACAGTCGGCTCCGACGCACTGCGCCGTAGAGCTGGCCGCTCCTCCTTCCCCTGTGAATGCTTCGAGCGTTCCTTCAGTTGACTATGCGACACCCGTCGCCAAAGTGTCCGCGCCCCGCCCTTGATCATTTGTCCCAACGCCAACAACGCGTCCTCCTCTGGCATGGCCTCCTCTTCTGGCGTCGCAAAACCTGCTGTAGCAGACTTCCACAAGGGCACGTTATTGCCATACGCCGTCATTGGCTTCTTCGTGTGTGCATGCGCCCGGATCTGCGCGTTTAGCTCCTCCAGCTCACGCATCTGTTCCAGCGAGAGGTTCGCTGGCGAGCCCTGGACGTGCGGGGTGTCGGACATGCTAGGTGGGGATTCGAGTTGACCCATTTGCATACGCCGAGCACGCAGCATCCGCGATCGGGCTGCGATGCCCAGCTGCACGGTCGACGTCCGACGGCGGGGATCGAGTTGAGGAAGTGGTGCAAAGGTCACAGACACAGGAGAACTGTTTGGAGCCGTAAGACAGCGAAGGATACCTGTGGGCCGCTGACCGCATGACTGTGAATGCGAGTCAGTCAGAGAGGTCCGTGCAGATGAGGGAGCCGTGCTGGAAGATGCTACGGTGGAGTCCGATGGTTCTGAGCAATGTGGGGACGCAGACGGCAAGAATTCGGCTGATACAGGAGAGGACTTCTGTTCCTCTGGTGGTGGTATCGTTTCTAGCTGTAGTATGGACACTGTCTGATCGGCAGGCGGTATTTGCTCCCTCTCTGTCGACACTGAACTGGAGTCTGACCGCGAAGTGGACTCCTCGGGTGAAGACAAGCTCGTGTGATCCTCTCCGTTTTGTAGTATCGGTAATGGCGTCGACGGTGCGGTATCGTGAGATGGCGTATCGCCCTTGTCTTCCTGTGGTGGTGTCGTCGATGCACTTTCCACAGGCTCAATTTCGTGGTTACTCTCAGGTTCTGGGGGCATCGGTGTCGGCGAAGATAATGTCATATGTTGTCCTTCGGACATGTTTCGCAATGGTCCGCGATGTGAATGTTGTGAGACGACGTGGTGGCTCGACTGATTGAAAAAATCAGTTGAGAATCAATTGAGACGGAATATTGAAAACGAGCGACGAGAGATTGAGGGAGTAATGAGCCAAGAGAGGTGGTTAAATATGAAAAGCAGTGTGTTAGCTTTCGTCGACGTCGTGAAGAGACGGGACGGTCTGCATCAGCAAAACGTCGGTCAAAGTCGAAGCAAGCTACAGCCTTTCCAGCTCTACCACTTTGGTGGGCCGAAGTCGAACCGGCCGGCCGGTCAGAGAAACGGATTTCGGCCTATCCAGATATTTAACGGGTCTAGACCGCACTTTTTGTGCAGAAGTTAATGTAGACGCCGTGTAATTAACCCTTAAAATGCTACATTTGAGCCAATGCCGCGCTCGGCACTCGGCCTCGGCCCTCTGGCGATTAACCTTTTAAGCCTTGTCATGGACACCGGTGAACCACATGGCAAAAGGTACCGCAGCCACTACTCGCAGAGTCCTACCTAGAGAGCTCAATTACCCATAACACTATAGCTCGCCCACTCTCGCCCATCGCTTCAGCATGGTTGTCGAAGATTACTCGCCCATTTGGGAACAATATTCATTCTGTGAACTTTGATCAAGGATATATGCACCTGGTTTCAGCCTGCCTAAGCACACGGGCCCCGAGCAGGAGTACAGCACGCCGGTGGTGATGTCTGTACGTATCACTTGTATGGACAAATTCATGGGGTTTATGATTTTTCTCTGCCCCGGGCCAACAAGTCACTTGTATCTGCGGGAAAGAAGATTGGCCTGGAATGCCCTGACATGTCTGGACGAGCCCCAAACTACCTGCCTTCTCCCTGATATGAACTTTGAAGTAGGTCAATGTTGACCATTCACAGGGTTTTGGAGCCTCAATATGCAAATTACACCCATCAGCCCGTTTCTACAAGCTTGCGGCACCGGCTTGAATTTTCCACAGGAAGGGTATGTGGTTTAGTGAAATTAGTATCCCGAAGGTTGTTCCTATTACTCACTCCGCACACACCACCAACAGGCTTAACCTCCGTTACAAAAACTCGGCAATGTTACGACTTGAAACAGCGACCACGGAGGTACATGAGCGCGTAATGTCACGCGTGAGCACTCTTCGGTCACACACTGGCAACGTTTCTCTTGGCTTGTGTAATAGTGGAGAAACTTCTCCACTTGAACGATGTCCTTGGTGGGGGGGCTTGACGGAGGTGAATAAAGCCTGTGGTCTGCCAGAAAGAGGTCCTGTTATTTTCAAACACCTACCCTTGCTGTTAAGCAAGAGACTGGATATGTCACCACTAGGATGGTCGCACGCTCTCGGAGCCATCTACCTTTCTGCTCTTGTTCAAGCAAGCCCTGCGCCGCAAGCGTTGTCAAGCCTTTCTTCTGCCTTCTCCAGCGTAACAGGTGCAGCTGCATCAGCCCTGCCAAGTACGCAATTTCCTTAGTCAATGTGTGTTCCTTCTGATCGTTATTGATGTAGCGGTCCTTGGCAGTTGGCCAAGTCTCTCAGACATCGAGCAGGAGTTGAACTTGGACCCCAGCAGCAGCGAGTTGTCCAATATCTCAACCTCCGCACTTCTCATTCCGTCCTATGCTAATCTGACTCAAGACGGGTTTGTGCTCCCAAGTTATATCACTGCAGCGTTGTTCTGATCGATAATTTATAGATGGAATGTTCGCTTCTATGGTCTAGCTTACAAACTACCACAGAACGTCTCAACTTCGGATCTTGACTCTATCATCAATGGCTTCAAGGCTCAGAATCTCAACTCAACTGAGACTGCTCTGCTTCAAAATCGCACTCAAGACCTCGCATCGATTTCTGTGCCCCATGCAAATCTTACAGTGATGGTTGCATCCAATGGCACCAACATCACCACGGCCCCAATTACGTTGAATAAAGCAGACAATGTCGGCGAAATAGATCAATTCGTGGTTGTGCCTGGGCTAGGAGGTGATAAAGGTAGCGTCCAGGTTGTTGAAACCGGTATTCTCAACGTTACTGGTGAGTGTTTTTTCCCGTCCTTTCGAATGAGAGTAGCATCAATTTTTCTTTCCTTATAGGCCCTGGTAACGGCACTGCCATCCTCGTCCCAAGCTCGGGTATCTCCGTCGTCTCCGACATCGACGACGTACTTCGAATCACCAAAGTTTATGTCCCCAACCAAGGACTCTTCAACTCTTTCGTCGAGCCATACGTTAACATACCTGGTATCTCCGAACTCTTCGCGCACTGGCTCCAATCACTTCCCAATGTGTCTTTCCACTACGACACCACCACTCCTGTTGAACTCGCCAGGACCTACGTTGACTACTTGTTCAACAATTTCCCCCTAGGCAGCCTGGACATGAGGCCGATTAACATTAGTGAACCAAGCCAGATTCTGGACGCGAGACAGAATAGTCTTTTGAAGCTGTTCCAGACGTTCCCTCGGCGCAAGTTTGGTGTGTGCCTATCTCCCTGTTTTATATCTACTGCTTTCACGGTCTAAACCATCTTCTGAATCATAGTACTTGTTGGTGATACATCCTCGTCAACTCTTTTATCCGTGTACCCACAAATCGCCCAACAATTCCCAAATAACATCGCTTGCATATTCATCTGCAGCACTTCTGCTACCAATTCTGATGACAAGGTACCTTACAACACCAAGGATTTCAAGAACATCAAGAACGGTACTTACTTTTTCTACAACACCGCGGAGGGTCAGTGTCCTTTGATTATCCTTTCTGACGTGATGACAACTTATGCAAATCCATCACCGCAAGTAGATTTATTCAACCTTGATATCGTCAACGGGCAATGTCAGAACCAATCCATCCCAAATGACGTCCAGTTTGGCAAACAAGGCGGCGTCCTAGGAACTTTGGGCAATAGCAGGTCGCTTTGGGTTTCCCGCCCAGATATGGTGGACCACGACAGTCTTTGTTGCCACTGCCCTTGGTTTTGGATCTTTGTGAACTCTGAGCTGGCTTGCGTCATTGGACTTCTATTGTCTTATTGCTTTCCGTATTCACAAACTTTGCGTCTTCACAGTTTGTATTTATGATTGTTGTGTTGTAGTCATGACAAGTACAGCTTTAGATCATGTCAGACCGGAACATAAAAGAACGGTGAACCTCAAAACAAGCTGTGGGTTTGCCTTGGACAAGGGATAATATGGGCTATCAGCGCTGTATCACTGTATACATGCAGGACATTGTCAATCAAGTTTTTAACGGTTGATCTCTGGATACAGCTTGTTAATCTGTGTTCATGTGTAAACAGGGGTTGAGACTCGAGAGATACGGTGTCTACTACTCAAGGCTCCAACCCTTTATATTATTTACTCTTTATAAAGAGTTACAACCCTTTACGTTTACTTTTATTTATGAAGGCTGTGTAATTTGGTGTAAACAGTTTATAAAGAGTAAATAAAGAGTTTCAACAGGAATTTATAAGGCATGCCCTGTACATCTGGATATGCATAAATCTCTACATACATAACTTTGTATCGACTCACTACCACGATTGTGCGTGTAATTTACTAGCAATTGTACTCACTTCTGAGACGGATTGTGGCGGCTCCGACAACGGGCGCTTCTCAACACAATTGAGCTTGAGCCACCCACAGAGCTGCACATAACTTGAGAAATGCTTTGGGAATCCAGTCATGAAATTTGAAAACGGCATTATAAACATAAAGAGAGTCTGTATTCTCTTCACCTTCCAGATCAAAGCTAATATATATTAGTTGTAAACTTACCCTTTACTTTTTATAAACTGTTTATAAACTGTTTACAACCCTTTCTCTTTATTTACGCCATCAGTGTAAAGGTAAAGTAAAGGGTTGGAGCCTTGCTACTATCCTTAATTTGCCTTCGACCTAGAGGAAAAACATATTCACAGATTCGTGAAAAAATGGACACTGAGAGGATTGAACTCTCGACCTCACGCAACCCCATTTACGAGTTAGATGCGAAGCGTGCGCGCTACCACTGTGCCAAGTGCCCAATGTTTACGGCCTTCCTCACTCACTGCCTTATTAAGTGCTGTTGGGCCTTGTCCTCCGCGTCTTGCAACTGTGCCGAGAGCATGCGTATACGGTTTCAAATATAACATGACCCACTTTCTTGTACAGCAATGCCTCGGACAGTACATCCCCCACGACGCTGAAGTGCTTCACCGCACTGTCCGAATCTCTCCCCCTTTGCATTATCCGACAAAATGCTCACCGGCAGTTTCTCCCGGACGCGCTTGCTGCGACCGACATCCTCTTACCTAGGTCGCCGCTTGTCTTGCTCAAGATTCTCGGTGTCGGCCGTCACATACAAAGACACGGACACGCTAGCCGGCACCGTCGCGTTCCATAATATATATGTTTTACTTCACTCTCGAAAACCCCCTTCAGAACACCCGTCCAAAGTCCCCTCGAAGCTCCAGCGTGCCCTCCAGCTACAAGCCATTCAATGGCGCGGGCTGGTCAACTTTTCCTATCTCCCAGAACGAGCTGTACATCCAGCGCAATCGGCAGCGGATGGGCCGGAATGGGAGGATGAGCACGGCGAGGCGTACGGTGTAACTGCGTTTTCGAGGTATCGTGGTCGATTGGACCTTCCGATGCGTGTTTCGACGGAAAATTTGGACGAGGTTGCGGCTGCACTCCAAGCTCACGCTTCACAGACCGGACCCAATGGCCTCAGTTCACACTTGACTGGTGCAGAACGTGAAGTTCATCTCTATGTATGTACCCATGGGCAACGAGACTGTCGGTGCGGAGAGACTGGCGGTGCAGTTTACGAGGCGTTACGGAAGGAGGTAGCAAAGAGGAATTTGTCGGAGACGGTCAAGGTTGGGAGTGTAGGGCACGTAGGCGGTCATAAGTGCGCGATCTACTTTATTCTCCAGAGACCCTCGATTGTTGACATACTCAATAGGTACGCTGCAAATATTCTAGTCTTTCCTCACGGGGAGTGGTACGTGACGCTACAGCTCTTGATGTGAGGCAAACCGGGCTAATCGTTGTACAGGCTTGGAAATATCAAGGAGGACAACGTCCCAGAGGTCTTGGACGCGATCTTATCCGGGCAGGGCGAACGGTTTTCGCCAGAGTTTAGCCTTCCTCTGTTGCCGCACCTCTGGCGGGGTCGTATGGGGCTCGATAAAGAAGAGCAGATAACGTTACGCTCTCGTGACACTGCCCCTATTTCTGATATTGAGCCTCATCCGTCCCGTAGCTCGATTTCCCTAGATTAGATGTAGACTATACGCTTCTAGGACGGCTGCTCGCTCTAGCAGACTCAGCATACACATTCTGTACACACAAGAGTACATGGACGTACATGTGGGCGAACACATAGTCTCCGTAGCTGACTATTAAAAATTGGATGATGAGTCAATCTAATACTTATAATAGCGAACACGAGAATTCAGTGATACACCGCTGCACCCCGCTGCCGCACCAGGGCACAATTTTACTCAAATCTTCGTCTTTATGAGGTGTTGAGTACTTTGAAAGTGGCCGTGCAAAGGGGTCCGATAATCTTTTGTCGTATACAGGAGGGCAATTTCTCATCAAGGAACTGAAAGTTTTCGGTCCGTTTAGGGTTTGGCCGCAACAAGTGGGTATGCTATCTTTGCAGCATGCCTAGTCAAGCTTGATGCTATACCTTCATTCGTCGCTGACGTCCTGTCCCGCTGTCCCGACATGAACTCGGAGACGGGGATTTTAAACCGTCGGGGACACAGTTCAATGCGATAGGCAAGGATAATATCGGAGGATTTGTATGGGATGCCTTGTAAAGGTGATCTTCGTTTAATTTTTTTGCAGAAAAGAGTCAGCTGAACGAACTGACTGCTGATATAAATATTAGTCTAGACCGGGGCGAATGGCTGTGAACGAGAGGAGTTGTTTTTGATCAGTCTGAGCCGCATCGGAGAATATCCGCCGGCATAAACGCGCCGGGGAAAGTCGACCGACCCCCGCCAGCAAAATATATAAAAGCGACCTGCACCGTCTTCACAATGTCGTGGACTCATTTACCCTCGCAGTCTCATCACATTCATCCCTATTCCTCACGACCAACATGATGTTCATGACCGCCATCGCTGCTCTCCTCGGTGTCGCTTCTCAGGTAGCAAATGCTGCCCCCGTTCACGAGACTCGAGACGTCTGGGACCCTAGGATACTTTACCCTCACGCTGGTACCGTCTGGTACTCTGGCCAGAGGCACAACGTTACCTGGTGAGTAGTGAATCAACTCTTCAAACCCCGTTTTCTGATTCAAGAGGTTGCTCAGGGAGACCTCTGACGCACCGAAGCAGATCACCGGTGCTAACGGCGGATTTATTCTGCTGAGATCCGGTGAATATGAAACCCCAGGTACGTTTTCAAGCAGTGGACAGGAATCTATCGAGTTGACTGAATCGGTTGTGTAGTCGTCTTGGCTCATGATATCACTCTCCTCGATGGTCGTGTTGAAGTCACCGTTCCCGATGTCATTACCGGCAACTTCAGTCTCGTTCGTAAGTTTGCCAGTTTGTTTATTATCCCGTCGACTGTCGCCAACTCCTCGTTCTTTTCAGTATTCGGCGACTCTGGAAACTGGGGTGACGATTTCCTCATCAACGGAGTCATCACATTCTAATCGACTCGTCCAACTGGTCATCAACATGACCAAGCTACGACGTTAATGAACGAATATCATGTATATGATAATGATCTACTCACGGCTACGTTCGTGTGGACTCTGATAACGCCAATAACCCCTAACCATTCATCGGACTTGACTTGGATAACTGACATCGGGACATTTTGGACTGTAGTTTAGTGCACTTTCGTATTTCTTAGCCATACAAACCCAATCGCATTTGCTGTTTAATTGCTACTCATCGTACATTCCTTTAAGGTCATGTTAAAGCTCAGAATCATTCCATGAATTGTCTACGAGTACGTGATACAATTGATCTAACGCTTCTTGTACAGAGTCACAAGTGTGCATCGTAAGTCCGTTTTTCTCAGAAAGCAGGATATTATTGCTCACCGTTTTGGCTCATATTCCCAGATATGACTACATGATACCCTCGATGAAGACCAAAGCCTGAATTTACGAAGCACGTCAACGATTTGCAGCACATAAACGTCGACATTACGCGCACTTACAGTTCCACGCAACTAGTAAGTGTTCTCGAGACCCCGCTTGAAGTTCTTCTCTAATTGAACACCGCGTTTGAAGTCCTTCTCTAGGAGTGCGTCGCGCTTGAAGTCTTTCTCGAGCAGGGCATCGCGTTTGAAGTCCTTCTCGAGCAATGCATCGCGTTTAAAGTCTTTCTCAAGCAACGCATCCCGCTTGAAGTCCTTTTCGAGGAGCGCCTCGCGTTTGAAGTCCTTCTCAAGGAGCGCCTCGCGCCTGAAATTCTTCTCGAGTTGAACACCGCGCTTGAAGTCTTTCTCGAGGAGGGCATCGCGTTTGAAGTCCTTCTCGAGTAGTGCATCACGCTTAAAGTCTTTCTCGAGGAGCGCCTCGCGCCTGAAGCTGCCTTCCAGCTGCTCCTCGCGACCGGCAAGCTCTAGTGATACATTTCAATCAATGACAGGGTCCGTAAGTAGACCAATTGATATCGACTGACCTGTACGCTTAAAGTTCTTCTCAAGCTGAACCTCTGGCGTGGGCAGCGCGAGGACAGTGACGGCAAGAGCGAGGGCGATGATGAGCTTGGAGAAGAACATATTGGAATGAGAGAGGTTGGAGGAAGTAGTAAGTCAACGTCTGTGGCTTGTCTAGACAGTCTCGCATGCCAGCTAATTTATACCCCACAGGTGTTGCCCGAACGGTCGCATAATCTCAAGAGCATCAGAACGGTTGTCTCGTGATAGCTGGCCATTTGACATTATCCACCCTAATATCACTGGTAATACTGAACTATTCGCACGCCCTAGCTTACCCGTCTCGACAACTGAGCGATCAAAAGTAAATATGCCAGTGAAATCTGTGCTTATACATCAGTGATGCCTTGTGGCCGAGGGAGACTGAAAGTCTGACATACTTCTCAGCCCTCTTCTTTTCCTACTTCCGCAATCACCACTTCTATCAGACCGGCGAAGCGTATGGGCGCGGTGCCAGGTGAACTGCTTCATCTGACCCTCGTGGGGTTTTGTGCGTGAACTGACTGAGGGAGGTTTTCAGGGTGCAAAACAGTACTCAGTACTCGGAGTCTTTCACACTCTCTTCCTTTCACCCTTGCTCGCTCTCCAGGGCTCCATGGCATCCAAGTCTCCCTCGCTCTATGCGACTTTGATAATTCTATGCACGGCCCTGAACATGTTCCTCTTTGCACGCCGCTTGCAAGGATTAAGACGTCAGCCAATTCCTTACAGTGCGTAGCATATAGTTCCTTCTGGTTACTCTTCGCTCATATGCTATGGCTTCTAGCATACGTCGGCGATGACTTCCCCGAATTTCTCCCCCATGAACCCCTACGGGGCGACCTTTCCATGACATTCTTTGCAGACCCCGCCTCCTCCTTCCCCATCTCCGGGCCCGGTACAGCCGAGCTTTGGGAATCCATCTACCCTCCCGGATATGGCTTCGTACGGCTCGGCGACGAATCTCGCCTGCTCTGCGTCGCGATGTTCCACCAGCTTCACTGTATTGAGAAGATGCGCATCTTTCTGGATGATCCTACGAACAAGCACGTCGCGTTCGGTCATCAGCAACATTGTATGAACTACCTTCGTCAGTTGTTCCTCTGCAAGGCTGATTTGACATTGGAGCCCATCATCGACCTTGACTATCCCGCTCAGGCACTAGATTTGAGTGTCGACCTTGTCATGAAGAGTGGGTCAAGGGTTGTCCATTCGTGTGGTGACTGGGAGACGGTCTACGATACTGTGGGGGATAACTATAAGAAGTGGAAAGCGTCTTGGAATATCAGCTCACCTTTTACATCTGAATCGGAATAGTGCCCGAATTCGAATATTAGCTGTAGATCACGTTCTGTTGTTATTGTAAGA